TTTTAATATTTTTGTAACATTTTGTATTTTGTTAAGATTAAAAATAAAGCTACCATTGCCTGTTTCCTAAGTAGGAAATTTAGGTAGCTAAATTGAGGAAAACTGGTCACAAAAGAAGAAGGGAGATAGGGTGTTGATGTTGATCCCAGTTTCTTGTCTGTTTGGAGAATTTGTAGAAATAAAAGCCTAACTTACAACTTGTCAGCTTGGGAAGGTAACATGTACAGTAGTCTGGCTTCTGTGGATGGTTCACATTGCTATAGCAGGAGAGCAGCCGTTTCTCCATGATTTCCTTTCCACCATTCCACTCTAACGCCCGCATTTCTGAGCCTTGTCATTCACCCATTCACATTACTGTTGTGGTAAATGGCTGGGATTGACACCCAGTGGGAAAAAAGAGCAGAGATATGGTTCTTATAGTTGCATGAAAGGGTACAACATAGGCCTCGTTTTGTTGGCTCTTCTTCTCTCAGTCCCCTGAAACACTGGGGCAGAAAGGGATTACTTTTGAACTTGTCTTGTTTTTCATTTAAATAACTCAGTTTTGGGGTGATGCCTCAATGAACTCAAACAGACGGTAAACACCTGGTGGAAATTTCACATGCTAAAAATAGCAACAAAACTTTCCGAATTCCCTATCAAGCATGAATGTAGAGTACAAATTGGTTTACCTCCAAGAAGAAAAAGAAAAGAAAAGAAAAGAAAAGAAAAGAAAAGAAAAGAAAAGAAAAGAAAAGAAAAAAGCCAGCCATTCTTATGAAACAAAGCCATGGAAAACTATTAAGATTTTTAAATACTGGAACTTGTGCTTCCATTGTAGAAGGCATCCAGGTATTTGAAGTAACTTTACCTCAGCGAGTATAAATGAATATTACATTGGTTGTTGTTGTTTTCCCATTCCAGATAAATTTGCCTCATAAGAAATCCCTGAACTTTGGAGAGGATTTGGGGATTGCAGAGCTCTAGGTCAGGCACTTAGTTTATCTTCGGGGCTGCCAAGGCCCATTGGGACCCATTTATGTGATGGGAGAAATCAAAACGAACTCAAATACGAACACTTTATAAACAAGGAGTAATGCTGAAGAACAAACTGTGCTTTCAAAAAATATGTGTCACTGAGTAATCTCTGATTAGGCTTATTTATTTATTTATATTTCAAATTTGTCACCGCCCACCTCACTACAGAGTGACTCTGGGCAGTTCACAGTGAACACAGAATAAATATTAATTAAAATAAAATATATATTAATTAATTAATTACTTAAAATACACTACAACAGCAAGATTCCTGTATAATACTTCCAAGAGGCTGATGTTAATTAGGTGTTAATAAACTCGGGGAGTGTCTTCAAGGCATCAGACACCCCCATAACTATATGGGGCATCGAGTTATGATTCAATGAAGCATAAGTAAATCATAACTGCATACAGATGGAGGTTTCAAAGGCTTCAAATCTATAATGGATTGTTGTAGAGCACATGGGGGCACAGCTTAATAACAGAGCATATCCTTTACTGAATAAAGTTTCAGTTTTAGTCTCCAGCATTTCCATGTATAAAACTCTCAAGAGACAAGATAGGAAAGTCTTCTGCTTGAGAGGCTGAAGATCTGAAGTCACTCAGCTAAGCAATAATAGGCTTGAGGGGCCAATATGAAGAGATTTCCTAAGCTGATATGCTTCATATTCTTTGAGCCTAAATAGTCTACATATACAAGCACAACTGTGCAAAATCATATAGAGATGCGCTCATATATATGATTTTTGCACCATTTTTGTTTATGTATGTGTGTTGCTCTCTGTATGTATCTTTGTATGCTATTTCTGGCTCTGTGTCTACGTACCCTCTTTCTTTCTTTTCCATATGCTTAAAAGTTAAACGTCTTTAGAGAGAAAGACTTGGCTTAAGAGTACAGTGAGGTTTGTGTTAAGTGTTATGTATACTGACAGCACAGGGGAAATGCAGGAACACTTCACATCCCTTGATTTCTTAGATGTAGAATTGTGCTTTATTAAAATAAGAGAGAAAGAGATTATAAAACTCTGACTGTGAGTTTCAAACCATGGCCACAATCAAAGGAAGGCCATGCCACTGTAACAAGTCAAGTTCCACGGTCTTTTTGTGGTTTTTAATCCTTTCTGTAATTGCTTGTTGAGTGAACCTCTGCAGAAAAACTTTAGCTGAGGTTGCTAGATCACCTTCCCCGCCCCACCTGCACCCCACTTTCTACCTCAGCAGGACGATGCACAAGATCTAATTTTCTGATTAAAAAAACACGGCATTTCCTTTCCTAGCGCAGCCACACGTCTTCTCAGGCAATGGTGGCTGGAACCTCAGCGACAAGCCTGAATGTATTTTTGGCTGATTTTCCCACCTCCTTTGCTCCTCTTTCCTGCCCATAAAACACCACCATCACCACACCAGTCAGCTTAAAAGCCCAAAGTAGGAACACTCACATTGCACTTATTTTTCCATTTCTGCATACACAAAATCTATGATTTCAAACCCCCATGTAGAAAAGGCAAGTCTTTAAAGAAGTTGTTTGAAACTTCAGTAGAATAGGCAGTATTTTTACCTTTTTGAATGAAGGCACAAAAGCTGTCTTCTTTTTTCTCTGTATGATAGTAAGCAACTTCTGTGCCCTTTGTTGATCATCTCCATCCCATAGCTTTCTCTATCTGTCCTTTTTTTAAAAAAACAATTTCAGATGCCCAGGCCTCTTGCATTTTATCACCACACTTCCTTCAAAAGTCTGTGGAAGCCCTATGTAATGTCCAATGATGCTTGAGAAACTCATTGACCCAAACCTGGATATGGTTTCAAAGTCATTCAGTGCCAGGGAAACAAGTCCTGCTGTACTGTTGGAGAAAGAAATATATTTCTATGCACAGGCAAGATACCCCTATGCGTGTCTTATTTACGGGAGTGGAGTCCACACAAAGATGGAGTTATGCTCATTTCTTTTCCAGGCAGTAGATACAAGATGCTGTCTTATTTGCCAGCAGAGAACAAACATTGTCTATTTATATGAGCGGGTGTTAAGATGAGGAGGATTTGCACACAAGATTCTCACTTGTACTTCTGTGCAAAAGGATTAGGACTTCTGACTGTAGTATGATCATGTGAAAACTGAACAGGAACTGTGCATATAGGAAGTTCATTTGCTTGAAGGATGCATGGAAGATGGAACCAAACCTCTTACTGCAGGAAGGGTGGACAGCACTTTTCTAAGGACAGCATTTCATCAGAGGTATATTATTGGATGGGCAGCATGCTAGAAATGGCCTTGTTGGAAGCCTATACTGGACAGTGCCAATAATAGCCATGGTCAATCCTTTTTTCTCTGTTTTTCCTTTTCATTCCTCACAGTATGTCCTGCTGAGGGAGTTACGGATGACTCTGGCCAAAATTCTTAATTTTGAATTGATGGCACAGAATTAAGCTTAGGCCAACTGCTTGTTACAGGAATGGCTATGAAAGTCAGTGGGATGGATGTGATGTGAAAATGTGGCAGAGATTATATATTTTTGCTACTCTTCCTAGACTCTGGAATATGAAGTTTGGCTGGCCAGGACACAAAGGACAGATGGGAAGGGAAGTTGGATTTTGGGATTTCCAGAATCAGTTTTGATTGAAGTGGCTTATAAGTCTTATAAAATAAATAAGGTTGGATTGGGGAAAAGACCACTGTAGGGGCAAGTAGAAAAATACATGCTAGGCAAGACAAAAACGGGGTTTGGTAGTTTGTGCTTTGACATGTTGTGGGAACCCAGGCATTGCCTTTGAATGTTATATAAACCAGGCTACATTTTAAGCCACAATACATTTTGTATGTTTGGCTGCATGTTATACAAACACACAACAGCCAGTGTTGAACAGAGGAATGTGGGAGTGACTTAAAAACCTTCAGAATGGGGGAGGAAGAAATTTCCAGTAGCAGCCAGGAATTTGTCCTTCTCTAGGAAAGAAGCATAAAAAACAGTGGCTTTGCCACAAACAAGGTAAGTTCAGAACTGGCTGTCTTTTTTTCTCCATGTGAGTAGGGCATTTCTGTTCACTGTGAAGTGTGCAAATTAGAACATATTAAACACATGGATTGGTCCTTATTCTTCATGCCTTTTTTTTTTTTAACTTTTTGGCTTAAACTTTGCAGTCTCTGCAGTGCATAAAGAGGAAGTTCATGGCCTTCTCCTTTTTATCTCCCTTGTTGCTTATCACTTCTCTTGGTGTGTAGACAGTTATTCTTCTGCTAACTCCATAGATATAAGAGATAAAGGCAACATTTCTGAACTAAATTATGTTGGTGAAAGAAATTAGTTGGCTTGCACTCGGAATTCTCCCAACATGCAACTTTTCTGCATGGAGAGGGCTTTTTCTCTGTTAGTATTCAATCATACTATTTTGCTATCACTACCCATTACAATCTAAAGCTGCAGCTTATGGCAATTTTGCAAGAATGAGCTAGATTGTAACCCGTAAGTTAGATTTGACCATCTTCTGTTTTTGCCACCCACATTCTTTCTATTTCCCACCAACTAGTGTTTGTCTTGTCTTCATAGGTCTGTCACTCCACAGTATCTTCTCAGCTCCCACCCCCACCCCCCAAACTTTCTCCTATATGTCTAAAAGCCCAGCAGACCCATTCAGGGTATGGAAGACATTGCTGTGTTGATGTCTCCACGAGTAATCCAATAGAACAATATCTCTCAAACAATAGAACTCTGAACCGGCACTGCTTAAGTCTACAACATTGCTCCCATTTCTATCACCTAAATGGCTGGGAAGGAAATAATCAACACCAACTCAAAATGAGAAAAAGAGAAAGAAAGGAAGGAAATAGCTCTTCTATTGCAGTGCCTGATAAAATCAAGGGCACTTTTTCAAATCACATGGAAGGTCTTTGATTTGTTGATTCAATTTATTTAATTAAAAAAGATACTTTTCTGTGCCATATTCTGTTTACTAAATTATTAATTTTAATTGTACAACTTCCACTTTACCTTCTCTCCCTCTTCCATTAGTCAAATTATATTCTTTTGCATCTTCACTGTTGTCCATGTTTTCCATTTCATGGGAAGTGTTAGAATTGCCATCAGTCAAAATATCCTGAAAATCTGGTACAATTTTAATGGGGAAAAAAAAAAAGAATGATGAGGAAGATGATGAATCACTGAAGCAGGAATTTTAATGCGGTTTAAGACATTTAGGCCATTCTTTAGGCACTGGGTGCTTTGGGTAAAGGATAATATAGCATAGGCTTGGTATTAAGAAAACAAGTAAGTTTGTTAAATTTTATATTATAAAAGCCTCCCACAGGGAAGATTGTTGCTGGTCTGTACCATTTCCCAAAAGAACCCCTTCACAGGTAGGTAAGAAGCTCTTTTAAGGAAGGAAATATAAGGGCTTAATGGCCCGGTTACCTGCACGTTCCGTCTGTTCCTGACAACGGCTGAGGTCCAGGCCAGCTGGAGAATCTAGAACAGGCCAAAACAAAGAAAGAATTCAGCCTATGTAAGCTCTGTGCTGGATCATTTATGTAACACAAGTGGGTAGGGATTAAATGGGCTCAGAACTATATTCTTATTTTGAAAACTATAGCTCTGAAGGAAATCTATCCACAGTGAAGTCTTGTAACACCTGCAGTGGAATTCATATAATAACTGAGGATATTTGGCATTCCAGTCTTCCGGTGCAAAGAAAATATCAGAATAGAACAAGCAAACTCACTCCTACAGTAATGCCTGTAATTTCTAGGCAGATTGTGATGCAAAGTTTAATGAATGTCTCTGCAGGCTGAGCCTAGTGGAGATTTGCACATTTATTGGATGGTCATGGCTACGTTGTGACTTTTTGACCTTCTCTGTGGATGCCCCTGATATTTACCTAGGATAGGATTGGACACCCCATACCCTCCGGCCACATGTGCACCTCTCAGTACCTGAGATCGTGCCATCAAACTTTCATGGCAAAATACTCAATTGCCACTTTTTTCCTTTTGAGCAAAAAAGGTAGGAAGGGAAATGAAAGACCTCTGAGTGGTGCACCATTTCCATTCCAACCCTAAATCCCCCTCCCCCTCCAGGCATGAAAAAGGAGGCTTTTACCGCATCCAGAGCAAACCAACCACTCAACCATTTCCCACCCGTGACACAGGGCAATAGCTAAAAAAGAACTGCTACATGAAAAATTTATTTATAATTGGCCACAGCTGGGATGTTGATGATGACGATGAGCATCATCTTCTTCTTCTTCTTCTTCTTCTTCTTCTTCTTCTTCTTCTTCTTCTTCTTCTTCTTCTTCTTCTTCTTCTTCTTCTTCTTCTTCTTCTTCTATCCTCTGCAGAGGAAAATCAGTAACATGGCCTGATATTTTTATAGGCTCTTTTGCCTGCATTGCTGGTCTCTTCATCACCAAACTGATCATCTACAAAGCGATCTACAACTGCCTTTGAGGAGAATTAATCAAATTTTCCTCTCTTAAAGGTGATACTATAGCCTCCCTTTTTAATTTAGCTTCTTCCTTTCTCTCCACTTTTTATCTCTTTATCAAAGAATCTGAAATCTTAAAAACTTGCTCCTGGCTGTTACATAACTGCAAAACTTAGCTCACTTGAAGCAGCAGGAAAGTGTTAACCGCTTCCCTCGCTTTACCACTAAGGTTTATGGAACATACACGGGGCCTCTGCAACTTCTAAGTATACAGACTTTGATAACTGAAGACCTTTCCAAACCACCATCAACACACTGTTTTTCTTCCTCTGAATACCAAGTACTTTTGTAGGGGTCTAGAATTAAGAACACATATCAACACGAAATGGACTTGGAGTAAAGGGAATTGACTAACTGATAAGACAACTCTCTAACCCAGTTTCTTCCCCCACCCTTCTTTACCACTTGCTAGAAAAATTAACTCTAATTTAATTTGTAGCAAATAGTTCTTCCTGATTCCATATTATTTCCTCAACTTGTATTTCACCAGGTATCATTAAAAAAAAAACAAAAAACTAATACTATGGGGTAGGGGAAAAAAATCAGTGGGATACCACTTTCTTCCTCTCCACATCACTTCAATCAAAGAGGATAGAAGTGTATACTAGCACGCAGACCTATTTGCCAAATAAGAGGAAAGCATTGGGGAAATTCATCATATACAATGTTTAAGCCTGGAAGGTCAAGTAAGGCCAACCAGAACTTGAGCTATATTCCAGGAGTTGATGACTGCTCATCTCTCTTAATCAACTGATGCTTTTTCATGTGTAAGCCATGGATAGATTATCACCCTATGGAGCCTTATTTGAGTGAGAAATCCAGAGAAATTCTCTGCTGAAGCACTATTGAATGTGAATGTCAGCAGCATAAAAACAAAGATAGGGAATATCTCTAAACATGTACTGGTTTTTTTTTTTCCCCTCTCAGAATTATAGGACTGTATTGAGGCTCTCTCATCTCCTGGGGAGAATATTGGGTTTCAAAATGTACTCTTTCAAGGAAAACTTGAATCCTTTTGAAATTAGGCACAGCAACTTCTTATTTTCCTTTTCCTTTTAATCTTTGGGAGAATTAAGCTAAATATAATCATACACACAGAGTTTAGGAGCATGGTAATTTCACAAAAAGAACATCCATTGTTATCTGTCAAAATATTACACACCATTCATCTTTTCATATTTAACATTCATGCAAAATATTCATATATGTTCTTCCCCACGAATTTTGTTTGAGAGGATCTCCTCCCCAAATTGCACATTCCTGCAGAATAAATAAACAACAGCAGGTTCCACCATCTGCCCTGCAGTGTTTTCTGAAGGAAGAAGTGCTAGTAAATTGACCACAACCGCCTTCTTTTTTAAAAAGTAAAGGGGAAAAAAAAGCCTAATAATGTCTGATATCAGAAATGAAACTGATTGTACCTATTATAGAACAGATGCAGCTTAAACCCTTGCAGCAAACTGGGTTATCTGGATAAGTAGTTGTTGGGGGAGGGTTGTAATAGAAGAGAAAGGAAAAACTGGCCTGCATTTTAGGTCAATGCTTTTTGGATGTGTGTACCCAAGGATCAGTGTGCATTGTTCCTCCATCCCACTTGCTTTTGAGATTTAAATTATAGGGACTTGCAGAGAGAGGCTAAAAGGAATGCTGAAAATTGTCAGCTTTAGCAACTTTCACTTACAGAGTTTTTAAATAGGGACTGGTGACCTCAAACTTTCCCTGGGGGGGAAAAATGGAGGGGAGAGAGAGATGATCTGCAGGGACAGATCATAGTAAAAATTATCACCAGTAAGAAAAAAATAGTTGGAAGAACTTGCCCAAGAAATAAGCAAGCTAAAAGACAACTTTTAGGGTTTTTACTGTTAATGTCTGCTAATAGCTGATATTAAGAAAAATCACTTAGTCCTAAGCCTTCACATTTGTAGGCTGTGCAAGAAAAAGGTCATATTTTAATGATACCTAATTCATCTAAGTGTCCACAGAATGCCTGCATTCACCAATAAAATCCTTAATGTGTACCCTTCCTGCAGCCCCAAACAAATCATTAGGCTTTTTGATGTCTACTAAGCCTTTTTTTGCGGGGGGGTACACCTTTAAGACCATAGTAACAACCTGGGACAGACCTTCAAAAAGTACCGATCAGCTTTAGGTACAAAACAGATGACGGCCAAATCTTCCAGTCATAAACCTCTGGATATCCTTGGGCTGCTAATGCCAAGAACCCTGCCAGAGAAAGCCTGATACAGAATTTCATCTCTGTCCAGTGACAAGTTGCATGATGGCACATCAAGCACATTGATTGTTTAGGAAATGCAATCTCTGAAGAATAACTAAAAGTCCAGTCAGTATTTCAAATGAAGAAGTGACAGATCTTACGCTTGACCCTTCCCCAACCTGCAGAAGCCAAATAGGCACTCTGAGAATTGCATAGAACAAACATATGCAGGATGACCCTGTCATTCATAGGGAGAACAAAGCAACTAGGGCTGGGGAACCAAAAGCAATGAGGAGATGGAATTTGGAAAGCCACCAGTGAGGAAATCATTAAGTGCCTCTCCTTGTTCATGCCACCGTTCCCAGCTTCTTCTATAAAAAAAAAAAAAAAATCTCCTTTTCTATTTGGAATGGAGTACCAGTTTATGTTTTTGTTATTCATATTTCTATGGTAGAATACTTCCATTGCTCATAGCTTCAGGATTTCAGTTTCTCATTTCTCAGGATAACAAAAATGGACCTAATCTTGTAACAAAGAAATGGGGAAGAGCTTGATAGAAAGGCTTAGAAGCTTATAAAAATAACTTTGACCCCCTTTTCCCCAAAGCATTATATTTTAAAATATATATCACTATCTAACAATAGGTCCAAAGGTTGTATGAGGGGCTCATACATCTTTTTTTCAAAACTTTTTCTCTTTTTTCTCTTCTTTCTTTTGAAGCAAAGAAATCTGAGTCTTTGCATTCATATTTTGACTGTAGCCTATTTTCTTGCCCTGCAGTGATTATCTGATTTTTTTGCTAGTCTGAAACATAATGGGTTGGGACATGGCCATGAAGCAACATTAAAAATCTTGGGCCAAGTGTTTGAGTAAACCTAAATCTTCAGGTTTCAGAAAAAGAAGAAAAAACCCATGCTGGACTAAATAAAATTGAAGGAATGCAACTTGAAAAGAAATTATTTTGCTTCTGACATTAGGGAAAAAATCAAAGACAGCTGTCTTGTTTTTACTATGTTGATGCCTGAAAGTAGATTTTAGACTGAATGCAATCTGAAAGAACAGTGTAGTGGTGTTCTCCATTTATAAATAGCAAACATATCAAATCCTACTGTTCAGTTCACAAGTTTGCATATTCCTCTCTCAAATGGAGTACATAAACATAAAAGGTATACCTGTTTTGGTGTGTTAAGGCTGCAAACACATTAGATGCAAAGACTTTATCAAGGTATAGCACACTTAAAGAAGTGTTCTGGCACCATTGCTGCTAGAACCGAATCATTTTGACTGAGAGGAATTTCCCACTGATTTCAAAGACACTTTCTTCTAAGTAAGCAAATGAAATTTCACTTGTGTGACAGATTCATTTTTTAGAGCACAAATCCACTTGACAGATGGGATCACTTAATATCACTTATGGGATTACAGTGAAGAGTTCAACCTATTATACTGGACAAAGAACTTTGGAAATTCAGAATCTACCTATTTGTTTTTTCTCTGGAATCCAAAACTCTTAACAGTAACAGGTAACATTTTATGACAGGAAACTGCCATGCCAATTATCTTGGCCTGCAGCAATATTTTAAGATGCCAGATTAACAAGTTTGAAAGATGCAATATTTTTACAATGTTGCATCTGAAAGGATACCCTGGTATAACAGATAAACAGAGAAATAGGAATTGTAACTGCGCAAGCAGCCAGATCCTATTCAATATATGCTTACTTGTGGAAGGAGATTTTACTGATTTTGAGTTTAACTTATAAAGCAATTTTAGCTTGCTCTATAAATGAAACGTCAAAATTCCTTCTTAAAGTGTTTACCTATTACAAATATTTTCTTTGAAAGTAATTCCTAATTTATAGCCAACAAACAACATATATTGCAAATGTATAACTCATGTTTTGAATAGCTATGAGAGCTAAGAAAAAAGTAAACTTTCTTTTCTAGCTTTTAAAGAGATGTTTTAGAATGTTCTTTGTGAGTTTAGAAATACAGCCGGGGGGGCAGGGGGGTCTCTCAGTAATATCTTTGTAAACCTCATCATTCTGCAGGAAATACATTGGTGGGTTCAAGATTATTTAAGAAAAATAAAACCATTGGAAAATCCTAATAACAGAGACACAGGAGGGAAAAAAAGCTAAGTAAATTGAAAAAAGCTAGGCAAAGTAATGAAATTTCTCTCATTCCGACAGAATGTTGGCACTATTTTTCCTCCAAGGTGTTTTTGGCATTCAATATTGCCGTATACAACCTGGTGGACTTAGAATCTTAGAGAGGCTGGTGCTTAAGTGGGTGGTGAAAAGGAAATTAATATTAAAGCAAAAGTACCCTTTAGAAATGGGAACTCAGATTACTATGTTCGCTGAAAAATAAAAGCAACTGAGTTTTGCTAAAATAAAACCAGCAGAATTCCAGTAAATCTCTCACCTTCCATCTTGTTTGGCAGCAGCACCTAATCAGAAAGCTTCTCTTCTGGGTTCAAGTATTCCTCTGAACTTCAGAAAGAAAGGAAGATTCCCAACTAGGCAGGTTTCAGATTCAAAAAGGAGCTGGCTTGCATTGCAATAATGAGATGACAAGGACAGGAAATGGTTAGAAGTTGCATAGGAACCGAGCGCCCTCAAGCGGTGGGGAAGGTGGCCCAGTGGGTGCAAATCATATTCCCAAACCCCAGTACTCATAGAATTGTTATTATTCATTCCAGGCTAGAAACCCATCATAGTTTCCCAAACTACTGTTAAAGGAAAACATCGTTCTTCTACCCCTGAGGGCACTTTTTTCACTAAACTTAAAAAAAAAAAAGGGGGATGTTGAATCTGTTAGGGACTTGATTCAGTCAGGAAACACTACCTCCCAATCAGGAAGTCCTCTGTATTTGTCAGAGGGAATAGGAAAGGTTCTGTCTGTCTGTCTTAGGATCTGGTAACGAAAAGAGCAAGGTTCCTCAAGTTGTTATTCATCTTAGGGTTGCCACAGGTTTTTGCTATTTTAAACCTAACCATTGCAAAGTGAGGCCTGTTTTCTCAGAAGCAAATTCCACTTTATAGCTACCTTGCCTACAGGTCTGCTATCCAATATTCATCACCATTCTCTGCTCCCAACAATCTCTGGTTCTGGCGACAGTTCCACCTTGCCAACGGGGAGGACCAGCCCTAAGGAGGCACATGCCCCTACCATGAAGCCCTGGTTGGACCTACTGAGTCCCGCAGTCAACTGAGGGAATTAGAAGCTATCTGTTCTTCTCCTGAAAACTGCACAGTGCATGGGACCCTTGGCGGTAGACAGCCAGGCAGTCAGGCCACCAGAACTGAAGTTGACAAGTCCACAAAGAATCCCAAGGTTCTCTGGAACCTAGGTGAAAACCAGTAAGGGAGAAAGGTAGCCATGGTTACAGTTGGTTGACAGTTGGAATGCCATGTGGGTGAGGAAGGGGACCTCCCACTCTTTTTCTCTTCTGTATGGACAGAAGGCTGCCTAGGCCTGAGTAGGAGGGAAGGATGGGCTCTCTCTTGCACCATGCAAGGTGGCAACACTTGGTTAACCCTTTCTCTCTGCATTGCCCTGCACCTTCTCTTCCCTGCAAGGCTTGTGCTGAATGCTTTCATGGCCCCAGAGCAAGGTATGTGGCATCTTATAAATTGTGTGCATAGGGCACTGGTGGATAGCTTCTAAGGGACTGAGTATCACTCTATCTCTTGATTCTCTAAAGGGCTGCAGAAGACCTCTATATTCCTCTAAAAATGTTCATGGCACCAGAAGGAACATGGCTGAGTTTCTGGAGGGGGTGGTGGTCCATTTTTCCCCAACAGCAGAGGGCAAGTCACTACTGTTCCCACTTTTTTATTTATTCTTTTTTATTGCTTTTAAAATAATAACAGAAAAAGAAAAAAGAAACAAAACACAAAGATAACGATTATGCACATACATACATTCTCAAAAAAATCTACACATAAAAAGTACTTTAACTAGTGAAAAAATGCAACAGAAAAAAGAAAACAAAAAAGAAACAAAGTATAATATATCATTATAACAATTAACAGTTATAATTCTATATATACTTGCCTAATGTAAATATTATTCAAATACATATATATTAAGTTCTGATACATTCTTTTTGTATTGAATGATATTAAGTACTATCACTTTTTGTATTGAATGATATTAAGTACTATCATTCTTTTTTAACCTACTGTATTATGTATAAATGAGTCCTATAGTTCATTATACTTGCCCATACAAAGTCTACATCCATAGGCAATCTGCTTGTAAGTGGCAGCGCAATCAGGTCTTCAATCCATTGAATAAATGGGGCATACATTTATTTTTCCAATGCTGCAGTATCAGTCTTTTGGCCACAGTAAGGGCACAGAGAATCCATTTATGATGTCTAGTTGTCAAGTTTCATGTACTAGGCATGTAGTTCAAGAGAATATTATCCTCTGAAAATTTTAGCTTTTGTCACACAGTCATATTTATATAGTCCACTACTTTCTCCCAGAACTTAGTAAGTATAGGACATTATAAAAACATGTGTTTTAGAGAAGCATTATCCTTATTACATCTCCAGCAAAATGCTGCCTTGGTCCTTTTCTATACAAATGTAATGGAGTCCAATAAATTCTAAATATTATTTTTTGTTGTATAAGTCATAATTTGAGGTCCATTGACACTCTTA